AAAAAAAGTGAAACTTTATTTTATGACAGGTCATATTTTTGTATGTATATTAGTTATTTTATTTTAAGTAGGTACGTACTTGGGTTGCCACCTTTTGAGAACTCATCATGGGAAAACAAGTAATAAGAAAAACAATTTATAAAATATAAACACTTCCGTGAATTGATGAGTTGTTGTTTTTCATTCCTACATAAGATTACTTATATGTAACGAACGATTGTCTCAAAAAATATTAATTTCACATGAAGTTGGAGGATCATGTAATATCTACATGAAACCAACACTTGTAGTTGGAAGAATTAAACTTACAGCCAATGTAGCACTACTTCAAAAAATCGTCATTTTTTACTTTTACGTAAGATATCGATGAAGATGCAAAAAATGTTCTTGAAAAGCCCACTCTTCAACATTTCCAAAGCTATTTAAACATTTTCTTAAACTTGGTAGTATGTCGATTTTTATTTTATTACTACAAACAAACTACGTCAAATTAATGAGGGAAAAATTGTTGCTGTTGTCACACCTCCGCCGGGAATCGAACCCCGGACCTTTGGCTTTACGCACCACTACCACTAAACTACGAGAGGTGACGATTTTTATTTTATTATAAGTTTACTTCAGTCCCTGAAGAAGGTAACTTTGTTACCGAAAAGTGCTTCGGACAACTACAGTGTCGTGTTTTGGCGTTGGGGTTTTGAGCTATTCTGTTTGTTCTATTATAAAATTGCCAAATTTTTTGAAACTATCCATTTAAATCGTAATTTTGGCTGCAATTATAATAAAGAAGCGAAAGGCTTGGTACTACTAAGCACCGTTCCCTATAAAAACGTTTAACTGGATTCATTGAAGAAGATTTGCTAGTTATTATACGTTTACGAAAATTTTCTTAGAAAACAGGACTTGAAAATAAAATTTTAAAATGACGACGCATGTTTCGAAATGACGATGGAGACGTATGGCAAATCTGACACAGAAAAATGTTGGAAAGCTGTAGTTTTTAATGACCGTGGTTACGTGATTGTAAACACAATCCCAAATGTCCTTAATGATACATGTGTCGCGGGGTTAAAAGTTGAAATAATCAGTTTTACCGAAATTCTCGTTAGCGGTCTTTTTTATCGAATAAAGATGAACAAATTTCGGGAAAATTCGATTTAAAAAATGGTAAGGTTTATGTTATTCGTAACATAAGCATGCACTCTTTTTCACATTACCTTTGTGATGCCCAGCACTCCAGGTACAAGTTTTTTTAAGTAGTGTCCCCACATCTATTTATGATTTGATTTTTTAAAATAACCATTTATTACTACAGAACAATATAATTAATTTGTTAATCATCACAAAAATTTTTAATTATTATTCTTTAGACTTCCTGCCGATTCCCATCTTCATCTAGCCAATATCTTATTCTTATCCTTTTTCTCCTACTTCCTATATTTCCATAGTTTTAGTCGCGAAACACGATGGATTTACATCTTCATTAAACGTATTAAACGACACAATTAAACAAAATTTAGCGTAAATAAATTAACAAATGCATGACCATGCACAGTGTAGAGGACAGCACACTGTACGTTACGACTATTTGGGTCAAATTTTATTGAAAGTCGTTAGTCCTACCAAAAAAGTAATACTGTTTTTTGTCATCAATTTCCTTACTTTTTCGATAACAAGTGACCATTAATGAGATTTTCGTGAAAAACAGTTCTTGGTGACGTTTAATCCTAACACGTACCTATCGATGAGAACTTTTGGGATTGTGTAAGAACCATACAAAAAGAAAATCTAATAGGAAAATGTAACTTTTAGGCAATTTTTCCGAAGTTTAACTTTTTTTTCTTTTGCTGTTACGGAGAATGTGTGCCAAAACAAATAGGAATTACAGCACAATTACATGGATGATTATATTGAACTAAGGTAGGCTTACACTTTGAAGAAGCGCTCTGATTCCGGACTGTTCTAAAGTGGTAGGATCTAACGATCTGCTCCTAGGTTTCTGATATACCATGGGCAATTCTTTGGCGACATCGTCGTACACAGCCGCACTTTTTTTGCGATAAATGCCCTCCTTCTTGTTGTTACTTCCAGTACTATTAGCAGTATTAGTAGTGCCACTGTTACTACCCCGCACCCATCGCATGTAGTACGACGACATCGCGCACAAACTTAATCATCAAACAATCACTCGAAAATATTATATTATTTACTACAGTAGCAACTGACGACCGTCCTTATAATTACGGTGTCGCAACGTACTACTGACGAACCGCTCTTTCTAAAGTAAATTTTCATAATTATCGTCAGTCATTTTCATTATTCCTAATTAATGGATTGCACCGCATATTAAATTTAAATCACGAAAGAGCGGACAAATACCGCAGCGTTTTTCACGTATATGTATTTTCCGAACATTAATTATTAAAAACAAAACATCTAATTTACTGTAGATACCTTTTCGGTGTGAAATACAACTTTTTGCAGCGCGGTCACGACATGTGATACGAAGAAGATCTGAGGCGCGTCATACGAATTAAGCCGTCCAATTGGTGGGATTATTTATCTATCAGTAATCGCGCGTGCTCGTTCGCGTAGCGACGATAACGTTTAAACCGATTTTATAAAACAAAAAAAAAAAGAAAAACAACATCGTTCTCGAACGGACACAAAGAAAACTTCCGCACGACATCGGATGGAAATTTTCAGTTTTCGAGCCGGTGCGGCGCGTGTTCGGTGTTTTTCGTCCGACGATGCTGTGAATGAGTACGAGGTGCACTATCGGCAGTCATCACGCTATGACATTTAAATAGGACAATAAATCGCAGGAAACCTTGAGCGCAACAATTTGTTAAAACGGCTGTAGTTTTAAACTAAATGTATGAGACGTTTTCAATGTTAACAGCAGGATTAGTTTGATCAAGTTAATTAACAGTAGTGGCGCAGCATAACAAATAGATATGGTGTTTACGTATAGGTATTAACTATACCAGTTTAAAATAGGAAAATCGAAATTGGAACTAAATTAGGAAATTTGGACTCCAAGAATCCTGAAAATCGTCTAAAAATAATGTTTTATGTTGTATGTCAATTGTATGAATATTTAACAAATGCAAACTCAAAAGGCATATTATCTACATTAAGGAGAAATGCTAAAAAATAAAAAAAATCGTTTATTACACTGATTTTTTGCAATTATAGTGATAATCAAAAATGGGAAATCCCGAATGTTCAGATAAATATGTTGTCAATTAATCTATATGTATACAATTTACAATAACAGCTGTTTTGTTTGATCAAAGTTCAATCTTTGTAAAACTGTAGTAAAGTTAATTATGTTTTCATATTCTTCACTTATTTATAGGTAAAAATAAAAAATATATTCAAAACAACAGTCCGTAATCGAAGCAAAAACAAAGGGTCTATTCAAAAGAATCCCGTATATATCTACATTACAAATATTTTCATATCGAAAAATAGGGGATAATTACCATTTCTAACTTTAAATCAAGTTTTTTCTACCTGCTTTAAAAACATTGTCATGCATTGAAATAATGTTTTTCAAAATTACCTGCTCTTTGGTGTTTTCAGCGTCACATAGTTAACTAGCATGGATTTTATTTAAAAAAGCTTCACAAAAGCGCACAAACGAGAAATAAATAACTAACAATATTCCTGAACAAACTGTAATATACTCTAAAAATCCTGAAGAATACTGAACCGGTTTCTGCCACGCATACCTAAAATATGTATGTATATACAAAAATATGACAAGTTTTGATATAATGTGTATGTTATTACGATGAAAAGGAGAAAAATCACTAACGCAAATTTAACTCTGAGTAATGTTTCAATGGGACTTTTCCGATTCCATGACTAGGTTTTCCGCAAGAAGGAAGATCAAAATTGACCAATACTGATTTGATAGATTGACTAATTCCTGACCGATTTTGAAGACTGAGTAGTCGATTCCTATATTTATGTTTAATAAGACTGAACAATTTTTTCAATAGCACATAAAATAAAAATGTTGTGAAGGGCGTGCGTATAGGTTCTCTAAATATTCTTTCCACCTATCTGCCTTTTCCTCATTTTCTATCAAAATGACCCCTGCCTCGTTTCTTATATTATTACTACTGTACCTACCCTAAATCTCTAAAATTCCTTTTAATCATATTATACGCCTCATCGGTTTTACCTGCTTTAAACTTTTCTTCTACTTCTTAACACATCCTATCAATCTACTGTTCCTTAGCTGCCCTACACTTCCTAATTATTTCCCACTTTATAGCCTTATATCTTTTTTGCCCTTCATCGTCTGTCCTGTTTTTATATATATTTCCGCCTTTCTTCTATTAATCCAAAAATCTCATTTGTTATCCAGCGTTTCCTACTTTCGTTTCGTTTAAGACCTAGTATATCTGTAGCTGCTGACTTTAGGCATGTTTTAATGCAGTTCCATTCTGTCTATGTCCCTGTTATTCGTTTCTCCCACCGCCTTTAGTATTACGTCTGTCCTTTTACCTAGTCTATCACGCGTTTCGTTATTTAGCTTTTCTAATTCAAGACGTCTCCTACCTTCCCTCTTTTTGAAAATTTTTAATTTAAGAGTGGGCTTCATAACTACTAAGTTATGATCGCTATCTATATCTGCTCCTGAATAACTCCTACAGTCCTTCACTTGATTTTTAAATCTTTGCCTAACAAGTATGTAATCTAACTGATATCTCCCTAAATCACCTGGCANGATACTCATAAATTATAATAATAATAACAAAAAGTTACTTGGTAAGTAATTAAAAGTGGAACGCTTAATTTCACTTTCTTCCGGAACAACAGATTTTAAAATTTTCTTATCTTTTACTGCGTCACACGATAAAAGTCAATATTTGCGAGAAACCTTAACACCTTCGCCATCTAGTGGCTGAACGGATTCAATATCGAATGGTTTTTCCTTTCACGAAAAACTATAAAAATCTGCAAAGTAATAAACAAAAATGACTTACCCTGACTCAGTTGTTGTTGTGCCCTCTGTAAAGATAAAAAAAGGCAATTAATTTGTTTGATCAGTAACATAAACAAACAAAACATAGTATCATGATTTCCTTACATTTGAAAATTTTACTTGATTAAGTTAGGCAACGCACACCACATTCCTGCATTCAATGATGTCTAGGTAGAATTTCCATAAACTAACTATAGGCTACAGAATAAAGGCAAATAACTCAAAAACGAAGCAATTTTCAAAATTTTTACTCGAGTACTTTTCTTTTTAGAAAATTGTATTTTCCATCGAAATGTACTATTCAATTTTCCTTTTAGCATTTTAAGTAGTGAGCATAATTAAAATAAAATGCAGAAAATAGAGAAAACCCTCATTTCTTCTGTTTTTTTTTTGTACGTTGAAAATTTACAGAGATAACTCTACCGATGCTCAAATGTACTCAGCCTTTATCATATTTTATTCCCGTTTGTTGCAAACGTGTTTGTTTTTTCAATTTCCAATTTCTACTCATTTTGCAATTTATCGTCATCATAAGCTCAGTACTCGTACAGAGCCGTGCTCGGACATACACGTTTAACAATATTTTTCGAAAATTGTTGATAATGTTGTTGAAAGTGTTTCATAGGAATAAAAATCAGTATATACATGGAAAATAAAAAAAAAACACATTTGCGATAAAACAGGGTACAATATGACAAAACGTAGGCAACACTGAGTATCGATATCTCGGTAAATTTTCATCATACAAAAAAGAATAACAGAAGAAAAGGTGTGTTTTTTCAAGGACTGGTTTTTCCGTGAACATTTATATTTACCAAAATTTCCCACGAAAAAAGTTATAGACGGTTGAATAAAAAAAATCAAACGACTATTTTTTTAAATTTCCTACTTTTTTATGATCAATAGTAAAAATGGTAAAAAATAAAAAAATTAATAGTGTTTCGATGGAAAATCAAATTTTCTAAAAGAAAACTTACTCTTGTAAAAATCTCGAAAATTGCTTCGTTTTTGAGATCTGAAGAAAACTCAAAGGGGTACCTTTTTTAAGAAGTCTCAAAAAAGGGACACTGTGGTTTTAACGCAATTGTTCCATACTAAAATCTGTATTCTATAGCCTAGTATTGTATACAACTGCAGTAAATACTTTTATTTTAATACGGCCTACTATTTTCCGCCCTTTTTTTGAAATACAAATTTAATACTATTTAAACCATTGAAATATCAGTAATAATAATTATTATTAATTTTTTAATAAGAACAGCAAAATGTTAATGCAAATGTCCTTATAGACCACATATGTCGTAATAGCCTCACAGCTATAATCTATTGAGCTGCAATTATAATCGAGCACTTAATTTTAATCCTTATGATTGTAATGAAAAGTTTCGTTGCATACTACTATTCATAACTCAGATTTACAAAAACTTTATTGGTACATACGTACATGTTTTGCAAACACCAACTTATTATCGATAATAATTTAATTTAATAGCATTAAAGAAACATGTATGTAAACACTTAACTATTATAAAAATGTATGTAGTGCGTCCGAGTAATAGATAACAAAATCTCAAGATACGTATAAAACGTAATAAAAGTATAACAATGGAGTTGTTAAACTATTAAGTAATAACAAAATGTATGATCATAATAATAAATAAATACACCTATCCATCGCTAAAATCCCTCCATCAAAAGAAAAATATATATTTGTTAGGTAAGCTAACAAAACGAGAATTACGTACAAACGTAATTGCGTTAATGCCCTAAATACGTGCTCAAGATGTTCGAAAATACAATAATTTATTAAATAGTCCTGACCAGAATTATCAGGATAAAACTGGGTAAAGGTCTAGATGATGGGTGGGTAGTATCGAACGGGGGTGGTCACCTGAGTAAAACCCCATAAAAAGTTTGCGGCGGTCTCACCCCCATAAAAAGTTATGGGGGTTGAAAGTTAATTATTTTGACAATTTTCATACACTATAATTCAAATAAAATTCAATAAAAAAAATATTTTCAAGCGGGTGGAGGTGGGGGATCGAAAGAGGGTGGTCACTTGAACAAAACCCGATAACCTAACCTAACCTACCCTATTGATAAAGATATTTAAATAATGTTTTATATAACTTTCTCAATATTTTTATGTATTTTTCATTAGTTTTACCTTTGAATATTGTTTAAGAACGACTATATAAATATTTACATGCCTAGAAATGTGTAAAAATTGGCATATTTATTAATTTTGAACCTCCATAACTTTTTATGGGGGGTGAGACCGCCGCGAACTTTTTATGGTACAGTGGTGGAGGAGACCTCCTCTTTTGATCTCCCCATCATCTAGACCTTTACCTAAAACTGATGTTTCTAATTTTCTAAGTTAAACAAACGCCTTCCTATACTGAGCTAATCTTTGGATTTCCCTAAAACTAGAACATCCCACATCCTGAACAGTAACCTAATAGTATGTCTACCTCTACTAATCTTAACTCGTGTTTCTGCTTTTAATATGTCTCTGACTAGCCCTTCATGCTTAAGGTGTCCTACCATCCCATTTCGCCTATTTCTTATTGACTTCAATAAGCCCTATTCTTTCTAATCCCTTTTCATTTCTAACCTTCTCTATCCACGGTATCCTCATCATTCGCCTGTAACAACACATTTCGAAAGCTTCTAACATTTTCTTTTTCGCCGCGCCCACCGTCCATGTTTCGCACCCGTAAAGCACTTAATCGAGACGAAAAAAAAATTCTATCACTCGCAAGCAGCGTTTTTTTTTTTTGACAAAAGGTACCCTAATTTGTTTTCTGTACCCTTGATAAAAAATTCATAATGATAGGTTAAATAGTTAAGACGTGAAATAGTAATAAACAAACAAACAAACTCACATTTGGATTTATAACATTAGAACGACATGTGCAGGTGCATTACGCACTTCAATTGGGTTGCGGTTAATTGTGCAATATTTTGTTTCGCAATAAACACTAAACATTTTTTGATTTACACAGAAGAACGAAATCTTCATTATGAAGTAATTGAAATCCATTAACAAAGATTTCACTAATTGGATAAAACAAGATAATATAAAAACCTACAAAGGAAGGTGATATTTTTTTTTGCATTTTAAAATATTGTACCCATACACAATAAAAATATTCATTCTTTGTACGTCACGGAATTATTTTCTCTTAAGATTGGTTGTTTATCTGATTTCAATAAAACTTGGAATCTATTTAACGTTTTAGATACATAGATATTGTATCAATTCAAGCGACATAATATTATCTTTCATTATGTTTTAAAGTATAGTAGTTATTATGAGTTATGACAATTTCTCATCGAGTCTGTACTTTTTAGAAATCTTTGATAATAATTAGATAACTTAATATTAGTATAAACAAATATTTTGAAAATTATCACACGCCAGAAAATATCCGAATACAAATAAAATTTCTAATGGAACGATTTTAGTTAACAACTCATTTATTACGTTACTGGAGTAAGTATTTATTTAGTATAATTTTGCGTCACAGTATGCACATACAAAGCTAACGGGGTGAATTTTACTATTAAAAATTCTTAATAGTGTCATGCAAAGTAAGACTTGCACTCAGTTTTTTAGATAAATTGCCAGATAACCTACATAAAAACAGGAAAATGCCCTCATCCTAGTATCGACTTTTCCACTTCTTATATATCACAATCATGCCGTCTAAAATTTTATCATACTAGCGGATTGAATTTTACACCGTGTTTTAATTTATATTTCTAAAATCAAATAGACAAATTACCCTATTAATTACCTCACAGTTCCGAATCAATCAAACACATTCTTTTTTAATAGTAAAATTATTTATGAATAAATTAAGATCAATTTTTTCAACTAAAATCATTATTATCATAGCAATTTTTGTCCTTATTAATTTTTTTGCAACTCTTTTATTTGCTACTTGTATCTTTCCGAATTTTTATCGTTTCTGATTACACATAAAAGTAAATCTCGTTCATTTTTTAATTTCTTATCATTTATTTGAATATTATCGTCATCCGCATTATGAAATTTAGTAACATTCTTAAAGTCATCAGCACTACATGATAAAAAATATCTAACAAAAAAGCACAAAGCAGAACAAGAGCCTTTTGTACACTAATGTAGTTTAAATTGATTCTCGCTTGTTTCTTATGTTTTAAAATGAATTCTACAGCGTAGCGTTAATTTGTTCAGAGCTTTAGCTTACGCTAAGGTCTATTTATCAAATTAAAATTAATTCTAGAATACGTTTATCAGGTAATTGGATAACTTGAGCTTATTGCCCTATATACATTCTGCCACTGTCTTGCCCTAAATACTTCTGGGGCAGCCCCAAAGCGAGTGAGCCGTTTACATTCAGTCCACACTTATCAACTCCTTGGCAATGGAGGACGAAGCGTGTCTTTTGAGTTTAAATAGCGTCAGCAATTAAGTTAATTTTGAAAGAATGTAAGAAAATTGAGTTCGTTCTTTACATTTTGAAATTATTTTTTTGATATGTGGTGCACGAGAACTGTAAGTTTTTTTATATATTCTGTCACTATTTTCGTCTTCAATGGCGTCCCAAAAATTTGCATGATAAAAAAAATTCTATCACTATTTCCCGAATAAGTAAACAGTGCTGCCAGTCCTTTAACTTCCGTTCAAAATATCCTCACCGATGGGGCAATGGCAGGAGTCAGTGGCATAATTACCTACTCGCACTGCCTACTTCCCTGCCCATTTTCTTGCTCACTGCTGCGGAAGTGAGCTGAATGTAAATGGGACATTCGAGATTTAATCCCCCGACGTGAAAAACTCATTATTATTTGCCAGGTATAGAAATCCATGGGTAAATTGCAGTGGGCCCTGGATTGTGTCAAGGCTACCATACACTTAATGACCTCTTATCGACAATTTGGTAGATTTCAATGAATTTGAAAAGAAAAAATGAAGTTAGGTATTAGGAAAAATATGATACTTGAAAATAATTTTAGGATATGAAGATACATATAT